GAACTGTATCTGTGTAAATTGAGAAATCTCGTTAAATTCATCAATATCTAAATGTATCCATCTATAAATCTAAATGGTATTTGTTGAAAAATCACAAGCCACGTTTCCAGTTTCCTGTTTTTTAAAAATAGTTTAAGTTTGCCAAAGGCTTGTCGAGGAATGCTAAAGGTATACCTGGGAAAGTCAGTGGCCAGCCTAGCATTGCACATGACCAGCGAAGTCAGTAAAACACCCATTGGGTTGCGATGGTGGCAATGTGAGTTATCCACAGGAAAAGTTGGTTTTCTGCTGAGTCAGTGATCATCCAGGGCATTAGGTAGATAGGAATGTGAGTAAATTTCCAAGGTCGTGAATAGACGAGCAATGCTAGATGGTAGCCCAGAGGTTGTTGAAGAAGATCAAGATCTGTGGCTGCCTTCAGTAAGGATATAGCCTCTGTTGACCTCTGACATTGTTGTCCACTTACTTGCAAACTTGTGATCTTATCCGATCATCTGAATTTTTCCTGTACATTTACAGACTTAAATTAGTTAACAAGTTTAGACATGACCACAGTGAAGATTGTGGTTCTGCCATAAATGGTATTTTTCCAGAATAATCATAGACTGAGAGCAATAGAACACATGTTATCAATTTTTAATGACATTGGAGACATGTGGACATTTATAAAACAAATGCTAAATGGTTTTGGCCCAAGCAGAACAAAAGATTTCTGGGTCTACTTCAAGTTTGAATCTGCAGAAAATCACTACCAGGGTGAATTGCTGATTTTAAATGAGTTTCTTCAACTTTGGGAGCAACAGGACAAGTGAAATATAAGGAAATGTCTCCTGAGGCAGGGAAAATATATTTAAAACCAGACTTTCTATCGTGTTATCCTACAAATAATTGTAACCAACTTCTAGTGGAGGCAAAGGACGTGAAACCAGAGAAAATTCCTAAATGATAACTCAGAATAAAAGAAAAAAACAGGGAATTTCTGTGAGGAGTTGATCATACCCTTCTTGTAAAATAATAATACTAGTAAACATACTGGTGAAGTTTCGAGTGACATCAGAATTCAATAAATCATAAACAAAAGTTGGTCTACTGTCAAAAGGGAATAACCCTGTTATTCCACAGTAAAAATGATATGGTGGCAAATTGTATAGAAGAAAATAACTCCTCCAAACTGTTTGAGGTGATCAATCTTTTTGACAGGTCAAAATCACATTTAAGCAAGTATTGGATCCCTCCCACCTTTTCAAATATTTTGTTAGGAATGTGGTACCATATAGACTGAGGCTGAGAATTCTGTTATCCAAAGGCTGCAATTCTAGATTCAAATTCCAAACCTCCCACCTGAGCCTGAGTCTGACATTCTTATTCTCATAAAAAGTCAATCTGTATTTGACTCAATCTTTATCTGTGCTGTTACCTGCATCCCTGACAATAATATTAGGTCCCAACTGTTGAAAAAACTGCAGTAAAGGTATTTGTGGGGTGTTACTTTATTTTATCAGTTAACAAGACAGGTAAATCTAATGACAATGTGAAGATCAATATTTTAAAGCCGCTTTATTAAGACATGGCAAAAAATCTTTCACAGTACCACAAGCAATGGTCTCCGCTGACGGAACTGGTGCAAAAGCTCCCAAAGCAATTTTGGAACAGGAACTTGTGAAATAAATACTTTACTAATTCTAACACACATATTTGGTTCACTGACAATACACACTTAAGAATTAGCAATTTAATCCCAGTCTTTGTTTTACCCACATTCAGCGTACCAGAGTTGAGCCAAACATGCGATAAGTAGTATTAATATAGTAGTATTACCTGTGCTTACTTACTTTACATTTGTGTTCTCTACTTATTTCTTAATGTTCAGTTGATTCAACTCATGTTTGTATGAAAAATAAATATGTAAATGTAAAAATTCTACCAAGCAAACACAGCTATTCAGTAAATTCAGAGAAACTTGTATTACCTAAACTTTGAACTTAGAAAGAAGAGGATTATTCCACTTGCCATTTTTCTTTGACATCAATACGAAACTTGTGCTTGAGTTGCATTTAAAATTGCACGCACATACGTTGAGCTCCACCCAGACGGAAACAAGCCTTAAGACTAAAACTATGGGTATGTATGATCGCCATATCGAGGTAATTCCAACAACATACCAGTTTACTGTCTTACGCTCTGCCACGCTGTCGACCCCATTATTTTATGATGTTTAACTCACAGAGACGTTGAAATATAGATTTCAATATAAGCAATAGAAATACGTCCAATCATGCCGGTGTGTTTTTAAGACATTATGTGGATATCCAGTCCAAGAGCGCCACCTGCAGACTAAATATTATTGTCAAATTGAAGAATATATTGAAAATGAAATTAATATATTAAACTGAGCCATTATGAAAACGGGCCTACAACTTAAAAAATATTCTAAAATTGAAAATCTGAAATCGCATAAATTGCTTTTCTTAATTGAGCAATAAAAGACAGTCTATTCTGAGATAATGAGGTCATTAATTAATTCACTGACAATGGAGGGGAAAGACTGGATTGAATGTAGCTTGTACAGATTTATCACAGTTTAAAATTTGCAGTAGATTACAGGATATCCACCTCAATTAATATTATAAAGAGTGAAACAAAAACTTGAATCCTGACTTAACTCACAGTGACCATATGGTATTTATGAAAAATAAGATGTCACAAGATACTTTGAGGTGATCTTTGTACTGGCTCGATAGAATGAACGCAAACAATTCAAAGTCTCTGGAAAATTGACACTGAAAAGGCTTTCAACTCAGCATGATGGAAGTTTAGTGTTACAGAGACCTCCCCTCACATAATTCAAAGAGCCACTCGCTCAAGAATTTAGGAAGGAATTCAGCAGATCACAGGACCGGTCTGATTGTAGAGGACTTTCTTCCGACCCCCACCAATCCAGACTGGAGCCGGCATTAAAGTCACATCCTGCCATGAACAGGATTTAAATAAAACATACATAAAACTCATTAATTGCATAAGAACCTATGTAAAGAGTATCAGTTGAAATGGAAAACAATCAATACCTCTGTGAGTCTAAAATATAATTGCACACCTCCACCAAAGCCCAACAGTACCCATTTAAACCTATTGGATCTTTTTTTTAAAATATGCCTGATTATCTTAAACTTTAATGGCTTCTCTCTTGGCCCATCGTGCATCCTGCCATCATTTCTTTGAAATCTGTTTTTGCTCAATCTCTTTTTCCCAGTTTTGGAACATGGCGTGATATTTGTCCCGTAAATACAGACGACACTTACTGTTACTTGCATTTTGATAATGTTGATAAACTAACATATTGACCCTTTAAAACAAAAATCACAAAAAGATAGTGATAATAAAATAAGTCACTCGAACAGCTGTGCACTCAATATGTGATGGTTGAGGTCACCAGTTTTATGCAACTGTGAAAGGTTGTTTGTTTTCACACCCAAAGTTTCAGTGAGTAATAACTGGAAAAAAGACGGGTATGTGGGGTATTCACTCAGAGCACACAAGGCCACCAGCTATTTCCAGCCGCTAATATCCAACTCAGAGTTTAAGTTTCCGCAGTATTCAAACAAAAGTACATTGATCTGCATTGTCGGGACCAAGGATAGGCGAAAAATAGGCCAGCCATTGTTTTAACGTGCTGCGGGCATTCACTATGGCCACAGCATGTGATAGATCACCCTCTGTAATTATCAGGGTTGGAATGCACCCACGATCTTAGCTCGTAACTCGACCTAAACATTTGGTTGTATTTTACATTCCCCTCTGATGATGATGATGAAGTGACTTCATGGTGGTTTATGGTCAGCACAGGTATATGTGTGGGTACAGGAGGGATTCAGCAGTAGCAGGTAGAGGACACTTGAAGCTCTCTCGGGGGGGGGGACAGGTGAATTAATGACTTGTGCAGAATTTGTTCTATTTAGTTGCACTTCTGAGGGCATAATAACTTCACTCTGTCAGAGTCCGTCTCGTTTGGGAAGATAAATGATAAATGCTCTTTAATGATTTGGAGCTTTTCTAGTCTTGATGTCAACTTAAAGTGTTTTACAATACAGTTTTTTCCATACACACACACATACACACAAACATACAGAGCATCAATGAGCAGCACTTTTTTTCTATGAGAAAGGGCAATTTGGGGGATTTATCTTGCCCGAAGACACTTCAGAATGCAGATGGAGAAGACTGGGATCAAATTGCAGACCTTCTGGTTAGAGGACAACCACTCTACCGCCTGGCTCATCACACCCCCACTGAAAGATAGGAATCATTGACCTGCTCAGAATCTAAGGTGAAAGATTACTGTGACTTATAGGATCATATATTTCTCAGATAAACGCTTTATGCGCAAACACACAACTAAACAAGACCGTAACAACACATATGTTTTATAGCTAAGCAATAAATGTCCCCTCTGATATTCTCAAGCTTAATCTCATTATGAACCAGGTGCTTGAAGATAAAGAACATCTGGTTGTCAGGATACAAACGAGTGTGGGACCAAAATGCATTGATTTTACATATAGAGAGAGTCAATATTATATATATATATATATATATATATATGAGGGAGAGAGACAGAGTCAGTATATATATATATATATATATATATATATATATATAGAGAGAGAGAGAGAGAGAGAGAGAGAGAGAGAGTCAATATCATATATATATATATAGAGAGAGAGTCAGTATTATATATAAATATATATATATATGAGGGAGAGAGAGAGAGTCAGCATTATATATATAGAGAGAGAGAGAGAGTCCGTATTATATATAAATATATATATATATATACACATATATGTATATATATATAGAGAGAGTCAGTATTATATATATATATGTCCCTCTGTAATATAAATAAAAGTAAAGTATTTCTGTTCTTTACATGAATCGCTTTCGCTTCACATTTTAATCTTAGTGTTATGAAGTTTGTCCCTCGGCGCTTACCGTATGAAGAAGAGGAAGCAGGAGGAGGAATCAAGTTTAAAAATGTGATTTCAGAGCAAATAATAATGTGAAAGGATCGAGATGCAGCAGCAAATGTGTTCGAGTCCGTCCGAGGACGTGTTTTAATTGATTTCTGCGGATTATTCGTGAGTTGAAGTCGTCGGTGAGTTTTTTATTTCGAAACTACAACCCGGAAGTGGTGTGTTTACCCCGAGCCCGCCTGTGTGACAGGACTCAGCTGTTTGTGTTCGCGGGACTCGTCTCGTTAACTGTGGCCTGGTTTCATTTCAAAAACAGAAACCTCATAAAATGGCCTCCGGTGATGGGATCCAGATACCCAGCCACCTCCCGCTGCTGCTAACCCACGAGGGCGTGCTGCTGCCGGGCTCCACCGTCCGGTTCAGCGTGGACTCCCCGAGGAACATGCACCTGGTCAGCCAGCGGCTCCTGAGAGGGACGTCGCTGAAAAGCACCATCATCGGAGTGATCCCCAACACCAGAGACCCGGAGCATGACACCGACGACCTCCCGCCGCTGCACAAGTAACACACACTCAGTCCCGCTGCTGTGACGGAGCCTGTCTCTGAACAGGGGGTGTGAGAAAAATGTTCAGTTCGTAGATTCTCCTCTAACATCTGCTCCTCTCCTGTGAAGCACGTTCATTCAAACCACCTGGTCTCAGTGGGTCCAACACTCACATAACGTGTAACAGGTCATGTCTTCATCACATGTTTACCTGGCATGTCACCGGCCTACCGTTTGCTCTCAGATGATCTATTTTGCTTCTAAAATAACTTGCATGTCATCATTGAGGCTCATCTGTATTGTTGGGCCATGCACGCGTTGTTTAATGTTTGACAGATATTTTTTAGTTTGTTCGAGTTCTAGAAAAGTCTACGGGTTCATAGACACGAGTCACAGACCGGTGGACTTTAACCTTTCAGCAGCTTGTTACTTGTCTTTCTGACACAGCCATACTGTGGTGGTGGTGGGGGTGGGGGGGGACTGATCCTCTGAATTATTAATGTTCAGTGTCAAAGGTGTTCTTGCCCCAAAAGACATGTAATGTAATGCACAAAAGCGGAATAGTAGAATTTCATGTTTATTATCCAACTTTTCACTTATTACACGTGTCCTTGATTTAAATGCATGTTGCAGCTGAACACCCCTCACCTCTCCCTCCAAACATGAAAAAGAAACTGAGGTAGCTTCAGTTGTCATAAAAACTCAGAAGATGTTTAGTTTGTCCAGTCTGGACTAATATAAAAAAAAACATGGCAGCCGCCGTAGAGAGGGTCCCCTCCATGTAAATTTTAAGTATTTGAATATATACGACCTTTTCTCGGGTAAAGAAAACTACAATTCATAAAATTTAGATGAAATGAACTAGAGAAAACATCACGAGGATTATTCTACATTAAATTTCTGCTAATAGTTTCCTTTCACCTAAATCTTACACACTGGACCTTTAAAATGAGCCACCCCAGTCTGTCTGAAACACATCAGCATTTTTTTTTTTTTAAAACACAATCATTTAGCATGTGTCTTATCAGTTGTTGTTTTCTGGAAGCTGGTTTCTTATGCAGAAGATTTTAATGTATACTTCATCAATCAACAATATAGAAACACACGAGCACCCCCAAGTCTAAAGATGTCTCCCACAGAATCCCAGTATATCCCCCTCTTCTTGCGTCACCCATTCTAACAGCAAATCAATGAATTGCTGCCGCTCTCTATTTTACTTATATGTGTTCACATCCCATTGGATAAAGTGTGCATTCCTAAATCACAGTGGGTCCTTACACCTTACTACTAATGTATTATGCAAAAGAGTGTGGTGCCTCTCTGTCTGGGGAATCTGAACTGGTTGAAAACGTTTTTCAACGTAGACAATACACTGTACTGTTGGTTTGCCCTTTATCTATAACCTGACCTTGGGCACTGCTTGGAGATAGAATGTGTGGAACGTAACAGGGTCCACTCTCCTAATGGTGTACAGATGTAATGTGTTATCACGGTCAAAAGTTCCATTTAAACCAATAAATACTTTGTTAAGGTTAAGAAATGGTGGATAAATATTATTTAAATCGTTATGGTGATGAATGCATTAGTTTTTGTATTTGTCAAATTTTTTTTTCCATCTTAAAATGTACATTTGAATGCGTAAGTCATTCCAATACTGAATATGTGGCCAATAGAATGCAAAAACAAAACACAACCACAACATGATAATGGCTTAGGCGGTGTACACTCTATCTGCCAAAGATTTAACTTAAAATAAATTGTAGGAAAATATATACCGGTAATATTTGGTTGCGCCATCTGACATTTTTTGGGTGGTAAAGCAGAAACTACTGTTAAAAATGAATTAAGGTGGTTTGAAAAGTGATTTATTTAAATAAGACATCATTCTGGACTCAAAAATATGTAATCCATCTATATTTCAAAGCTTTCTAGAAGCTTCATTTGTCATTGGCCTATTTATAAACCACTCAAAGTGTTCTGCCATTCATCCAGTCGGGGTTGAGCATTTTGCCCGAGGACACTTTGGCACAAAGAATGGGGGAGATTCGGATCAAACCGACCTTCTGGTTTGTTTGTAATATATCCACAGCTTTTTTTTACTCACCTTAGAATAAACTTTGGATCAGGAAAATAAAAAAAGCTCCGACCCTCAGCTGTCAAGAGACGGTTGCAGCTGTGTGTGAGCTACAGTGTCAGTAAATTCTGGCATGTGCCCTGTCTTATTAACATCACTGCAAGTCAGTCCAGCTCATTTTCCTGGAAGTCTGTTAAACCACCAGAGAATTTAAGATCTCTGTCAAGCTGTGAACGCCGCAGGCCGAGGAGGGTGTTGTAGCCGACTTTTGTAGAGGATGTAAGTGAGCTTCATGAGAAAAACATGGCAGCATTAAGTGTGTTTGCATTGTCATCTCATGAGGTTCTTTCTGTGTGGAGTTTGCATGTTCTTTCCGTGTGTGGGTTTTCTCTGGGCACTCGGACTTAAATCCAAAAACATGCAGATTGGTGTCAGGGGGGATTGGCAACCCTCAGAGATAAGCAATATAGATAACTGATGGATAGATGAAGCATTAGGTTTTAAATCCGTATAATCACTTGAGTTAATTGTGTTTGATACACTTTGTAGTAGTGGAGCTTGGCTGACAGTAGGGCTGCAGCTGATGGTTACATTACAATTAATCTACTGATTATTTAACGTACCGGAAAAATCAACACTTGAACAAACATCAGTCTGATAAGAACTATACCTAAAATGATCTTTTCTAGTTTGACCCATGTCCATCTGCTAACATGGAGGGGTTATGACCTCTACTGTAACTTGACCTCATGGGGTCGACCCAGATGTTTAGGGTTTACTTGTGAGGAGCTGTCAGGATCCATCTTTCCACACATCTGTGGTTGTGATTATCTTCAAGTGAGTCGTCTCTCCACACCCACCTCCCGTGTCTCACCTTGACTCTTCGCTCTGTGTCTGTGCAGGATTGGAACGGCGGGGATAGCGGTGCAGGTGGTGGGCAGTAACTGGCCCAAGCCCCACTTCACCCTCCTCATCACCGGACTGTGCCGCTTCAGTGTGTCAAGTCTGCTGAAGGAGAGACCCTTTGTCCTGGCCGAGGTAAAACTTTGTCTCATGAATCGGAGAACGACGAACGTGTAGAGATGAGTTTCACTGAGCTGTTTGAGGGATAGTATCAAGCTTGTAAATATCTTCATGGGGTTTAATGTCTCCCCACATCACTTCTCAGTCAGGGCTGTTGTTGTATCTGGAATCTTGACGTAAAGAAATTAATACTGATTCCAAATGTAATTTCATAATGACTTGAAAGCAAGCGTGGCGATTGGTCTGAAAGATTAATTAATTGATTAAATCAAATCTAATTGAATTGATTTTGAGATTGATTTAAAAAAAAAAAAAGAAGAAGAAAGATGGCATCCTGCTTTGTGAAGTCAGTATCGGTCATCTCGTGAAAGTCGGTCCGCTTAACTCATTGAACTGATATCAGAGAGTATGTGAGAGTTAATGTGTGCTCTTAGTTTTCTTGTGAACAAAGTTATGTTCACACATCAAAACACATCATGTTGATCCCGGAGGCCAAACAGATGCTGGAGGATTGTTCCACAAACTCAAAACATTCACATCATCCACTGTTAACGCTCATGTTTGCTCTAAAACTGTGTTTTACGCAGTATTGCTACATGTTTTTGCACATTACCGCAGACAACTGTCAATTACAGTTTAAAGTGAAACCTCTGGCAGATCTGCGTATCAGTAACGTGTGTGAAAGAAACAAATGAGGGACCCAATGATGAAAACACGGCTACATGAGATTACTGGAGGTCAGAAAAACTCCACAGGGCATCCTTGATCTCCTTCATGTGATTATTTCCAGTGGAACATTGCAATTATTTTTTATCGTTCCTTTTTTGGAAGTGATGTAAGTTTAAAATGAGAGACGTCTATTATTTTAAAATTTTGCAGGTGAAGCAGTTGGATAAATTGGAGCAGTACACGACGCCAGCAACACAGGGTGTAACCGCTAATGATGGGGAGCTGGGGGAGCTGTCTGATAAATTCTACCAGACTGCTGTACAGGT